AAAGTATAATGATCCACTCCAGATTGCCCAAGAGTTTTTGGGCCAATGCTGTGAATATCGCTGCATACTTGATCAACTGCGGGCCATCCGCGACTCTCAGTTATGAGATACCTGAAAATACTTAGATCGGAAAGAAGCTGAAGCTAGAACACTTACGAGTATTTGGTTGTGACGCCTATATCATGACCAATCCTGCAGATCGGTTAAAGCTTGATCCAAAGTCAAAAAAGCTCTCTTTTATCGGCTATGGAGGAGATGAGTATGAGTACCGTTTTTGGGATCACGATGCGCACAAGGTGGTGCGCAGTCATGACGTCGTATTCCATGAGGATGCGGTATATAAGACCAAAGAGGTGAGAGGGAGTCATCTATCTCTCTCTTTTTTCAGATATTACTGATAATGAGGACGGTAATGAAATACCAGTCAGCATAGAAAACGGAGACCAAAAGAACGTGCCAGATGTACAGCAACAAGATCAAGCAGAGTTACCGATCGCAGTTCGCAAAGCTCCAAGAAATCTGAGGGTGCCAGACAGATATCTTTCCACCATGAATTATCTTTTCCTGACTGACAGTAGTGAGCTAGAGAGCTATGAATAGGTATAGGAGACCGACAAAGCTCGGGGCGAGTGGGAATTTGCCATGGAGAAAGAAATAAAATCATTGACGAAGAATGGGACTTGGGATCTCGTAAAAGCTTTTAAAAGGGTGAAAGGCTCTTCACAATCGGTGAATTTATCGGGTCAAGGATGAAGCCGATGGACGGAGACGCTACAAGGCGAGGCTGATAGTGAAGGGCTATGAGCAGAAAGCAATGATAGACTATTCTGACGTTTTCATTCCCGTCGTCAAGTTGACCACGATCCGGACTGTGTTAATCATTGTGACAGTTCGATATCTCCATCTAGAGCAGATGGATGTGAAGACGACATTCCTTCATGAAGATTTAGAGGAAAAAATCTATATGTATCAACTAGTGGGCTTCGAGAAACGAGACAGGGAAGGCCTCGTGTGTCGCCTGCGCAAGATCTTGTATGGCCAGAAGCAAGCTCCGCGATAGTGGTACATGAAGTTCGAGAACTTTATGGAGAATAGTTTTCTCAAATACGACACAGACCACTGCTGCTTCATCACGAGGTATAGCGAATGCTATGTGATACTCTTAATTTATGTTGATGATGGTTGATTGTAGGGCCCGACTTGGCCCGCATTGAGGAACTAAAGTGGCGTCTCTCTAAGTGCTTTGAGATGAATGATCTGGATCCAACAAACTAGATTCTTGGGATGAGGGTCATCAGAGATATATCAGCACGTAGACCGAGGTTGTCTCGGAAGGCCTATATTGAGAAAATTCTTGAAAAGTTTGGCATGGAGAAAGCTAAACCGGCGAGCTCGCCGTTTGCGAGTCATTTTAAGCTATCGAAGACCCAAGCACCAGAGACTGCTGAAGAGCATGAGTTCATGGCCAACATATCATACGCATCTGCCATCGGGAATTGGATGTATGCGCAAGGTTTTAAATGTCGGTTATCGGGGATTTATCGGACGGTCAAAATCCTTATCGGATAGTGGAAATCGGAGATATATCAGGGATAAATAATATTTATCGGAGTAATATACTAGCAAATAATAAACAAACATAAGCTTAAAAAAATATAATGTTAGTCAAAATAAAATAATAAACAAGCAAATAATAAGATAACATCAAGAATGAAGAACCATCGCATCTACATAATTATTGTTTAATCATGAGATTCATAAACTAATCTACATAATTATTGTTTAATCATGAGATTCATAAACTAACTTACTAAGTTGATATTTAGTAGTTATGAGCCATTATCAATATCTATAAACAAACATTAGCTAATCACCAATCAACCAAGTTCCAAAAGCAACAAATAGCTCATAATTTGTAAACATTCAAAGAGCAAATTCAAAAAATAAAATAAAAGCTCCCAAATCCTACTCATCGGCCGATAAAGCTGATATTTAGAGCCTACTTATCGGCCGATAAGTGTCTTTATTGTCGATAACTCGTCGATAAACTTCAAAAAATGATAACCGATTAAAAATCCTACTTATCCTAGCGGAAAGCTCCCAAATCCGATAAATCGACGATAATATCGGATTATCGGTCGATATTTAAAACAGTGTGTATGCGATAGTGTGCACGGGGTTAGATATTGCACAAGGAGTGGGAGTTGAGAGTCGCTTCATGATCAATCCAGGGAAGCACCACTGGAGAGCGATCATGTGGCTTCTATGTTACTTAAGATGCTCGTCTGACCGTTATCTTGAGTATGGCGGGACAGATTTACAGCTAGATGGCTTTTGTGATGCAGACTACGTCGGGGACATAGACTCAAGAAGGAGCACGAGTGGCTACATCTTCATCTTAGGTGGTGGAGCGATAATTTAAAGATCCAAGTTACAGGATACTGTGGTTATGTCGATAACCGAAGCCAAGTACGTGTCTACAGCAGAGGCAACAAAGGAGTTGCTATGATTAACAACTTTTCTTCTCGAGCTTAGGGTAAGCTTTGAAAAATACTTCATCCACTGCGACAGTCAGAGTGTCATTCACTTGTCAGAGAACGACGCATTCCATGCTCGGAGCAAGCATGTTAACGTGAAACATCATGTCATACGGAGATGGCAAAGAAGAAATGAGTTCAAGTTCATAAAGATTGATACGATGTATAATCCAGCCGATATGTTGACCAAGCCAGTTCTGCTCGAGAAAGTGAGGCTGTGTGTTGATACGAGGTACAATCCAGCCGATATGTTGACCAAGCCAGTTCTGCTCGAGAAGGTGAGGTTGTGTGCAGCCTCATATGACCTCTATTGAGAAAGTTAAGGGTCGTGCAAGACGTCAAATATAAAAGACATCCGGATGATGCAATCAAGAAACAGAGTTCGTTGAGAAGACTCTCTAAGTGGGAGATTATTGAGAGAGTGGATAGCATTCTCATCAAAGAGTCAGCAGTGTTCACCTACCCCCGTGCTACCTATAGTGTTCACCTACCTCAAATAGTGTTCACCTACCCCCATGAGAAAAACTTATAAACACCCCTCTAAGTTTGATTTGTAAGGTATCTCAATAGCAGAGAGAGAAAAAGGTTCAGATATAAGTAATATCATTGAGAGATCTTGAGAGAATTTATGAGAATTCTTGGAGAGTATCTTGATCAAAAGAGGGTGTTCTCTTTTATCTTTTTTCTTTGTAACCTCGAAAGGAATATAAAGGAATTAGGCGTCGTTGTTGGACTGTGGAGTAGCTCTGTAAGAGTGAACCATGTTATATATGCGAGTAGTGTGATTGAATTCGTGTTTGTTGGTTTTATTCTGTGATTCCAAGATCGTTTGGGTGTGTTTTGCGTCTCCGTTTGAGGCGTTCTTGTTGGCGTGTACCCTAACAAGGAAGAGGGAGGAAATGGGGAAGAAATCAGGGGTTTGAGGAGAAAACTCAACTCAATAGTACTTAAAAAAATTATCAATGTTACACTGTTAATATTGAGAAAAATAAGGTCCCTCGTATAAACATGAGACTGCCCTATTCTATTCTCAATCAAATACAAAATTTAGGCAACATATAAATTTTGTTTCTAAAACAACTCATAACAGGAAAGTAAACTACAAAAAAGTTTGTCTCTCATCAAATCTTCTTTGATCTTCTAGAATTTCTTAGAAAAAGAATTTACATCAGCACACAAAGTATAAATACTACTCTCTGGAAAGAGTACTACAGAAACGTTGCAAGGGAAAATTGAGAGAACCCCATCTGATACAGAACGTTGCAAGAGATGCTGTCTTTCATCCAACATTAATATCTTCTCTAAGAGATATATCACTAGCAAATGAGCAAGGATGTAAGGCTGAAGAATCCAAAGTGAAGTTTAATGAGACAGACAGCCCTTTGTTTAAACTATTCAAAAATAAAAGTACTCAAAAAAGTTTACAGTGGGCAAATGAAAGAAGATGGAGATGGATACTGACTGAGTAGGATGACTAGATGATCAACACCCGTTTGGATAAGCAAGAAGAAGCCCACAATTAATAATTCAAAAGTAAATGGGGGTTGTTCACCCAGGGTAACAGGTTTGCTTGAGCTGGTTAAATATCCTTTTTCTCAGCCCCGTTTTCCCATTGGAAAACCTTGGGCTAAAGCTATATGATAATCGAAAAAATAATTGTCTCGCACAGAAACAACTCATCAGCATACTGCAAATAACATATAAAAAAAACACTTGATCAGGGAGACAACATAACGGCTTCCACAGGAAATATGCTCAACTTACATTACCATCATCCATAATATATTCTAAAAGTTTCGAGGAGTTACGTTTTAACTTCAAAAGGTTGTCCAAGCCTCCGTTCCCATCTATTGTCTAAGTTCAGCATGGCTAACACCTATACTCTAAGGGCCTGTTTGGTTCAATTTCTATAAAAGAGGGGGGGGGGGGGTGGGGTTACTCAAATTTTAATTTCCTTGTATTTTTATAAAATCTGTAGAAAAATTTTATAGAACTCAAAGAGTACCCATATTTCTTGTTTTTTGCTATTTCTTTGTTGTTCAAAGTATGAAAAAGTTCCTGACTTTATAGAAAATATGTTGTTTTCTTTTTCTTTTATTTGGTTGGATACCACTTTATAGAAAATAGCTTACTAACAATGTTCATGGAAAACCACATGGGAATGGTACTGGTGTACTTAATTCGTCAGATTTCCTTGAAATTTCTGCCCATTTAGAGAGGAAGTTGATTTCCATAAAATACTACTTTATAGAAAATATTTCTATAATTTTTTTTGAAAGCAAACACAGTTTATCGAAATCTATAAAAAAAACTATTATTTACGATAACGTCATTACCAGATGTTTTCTCAAAACATTTCCATAAAATAGGTGAACCAAACAGCCCCTAAATACAAAATTAATAATAAATGGGGGCTAGAAAGTATACTGCTTAACAAAAAAGAAAAAGAAAAAGAAAAATCACCTGCACCAACAGTGTAATCGTAGTTTACATGAGCAGAGTCAGATATCCGAGGCTCTTCAACGGAGAAAACGTAAGGATCATAGTCTGCTCCCATTCTAGACAATTTAAGAAAAAACTTGTTAAAACTGAGTTAAATGTATCCGTCTTGGATGACAATTTCAAGCAATGCCTCAGTAAGAAGTTAAGTTAACATGAAAGCATAGAACCTGCAGTTAAGATAATTGTAACATCAGGATAAGTATTCAGGATGAATGAATTGGAAAACCACTTCATTAGGCAAAAGTAAAATGTTAGAACCTAAACTAACTTTATTCTTAAGTAACGATCCTTTTTCCCCCATTTACGGGGAAATGGGTAAATGTGTTTGAAGAGAGTAAGGCTAAGAAAATTCAACTACCCACAGACAGAGATCAAAATAAATCATTACAATTTCTTATACATACTAGAGTGCTAATCATAACCAAATTCGTCAAATTAATGTAATAAATCCCTGAAAAAATAAAATCCTGATAAAAGACGATGACTTTAAGGAATCATTATAGAGAAAAATGAGAAAAAGAGTTACCCTCAATCTGAAAGTTACTTATAAATCTTTCTATGTCCTCAAAAACCCTAATCCCGAAGCTAACAAAATCCTCTCATCTCTTTGTTCCTGAATCTTCTTCATAAGGGAGAGAGACTCGATTCTGAAAATAGAAAATGATCTTTTTGACTTTTAGATCAATTCCCGCTGAAAAAAGCAGCTTTCTTAATTTGAAACCCTAGATTTCGATTTGACGATTTGAAGAGACTTTTGATTGTTTTTTTTTTTTTTTTTTTTTTTTTTGGGGGGGAACTTTTGATTTTTTTTTTTTTTTTTTTTTTTGTTTGGTGGGGTTCATGCTCACTTTCTTGAAATTCACCCCCGGAAAACGAGATAATTTACAAACTCGGGAAATTTGAGGGGCGGGCTAGTTCACTTCTATAACAAGTTTAAAGTTCTTTTTATTTACTAGCATGCCACTACTGCGCGTGGCATTAAATAGGCGCGACGAGCGTTCAGGCTACAGACGGTGAGGCTAGCACCGTGCACGTGCATAGCACAAGGTTTTTTTATTAAAAAAATGAAAAACCAGATGTTCAAAAAAAATTATGGGAAAATTACAGAAAGTTCGCTTTGAGTTTCGCATGATTTACGGGGGGAAAATATATTATTATTTTTTTAAATGACAATTTATCTCTCTTTGTTTACAAAATTAACTTGGATGTAAAAGTTAATAATTAATAATATTACAAATATGGCAGATATATGCATTCGCACATAAAGATATATATGACTATTACATGAAAATTTTATTTTACTTTTAAAAATTGATGCTTTTTTGTTAGAAATTGAAACTAAGAAGGATGAAGTGTCACTTTTAAAATTTTAGGGGATTTTCTGTCAATCATATAATGGGAGATTTGTTGTAATTTGCTCTAAACCTTCTAGAATTATTGGTTTATAGGTAACTAAGAAGGTATTATACATCAGATAATTGTATTATACATCACATTAATTTAAAGAAGTCCGAGTCCACTTTAGATCATGAGAAGATAAAATAATAACAAGAATTTTACTACAACAAATGAGGAGAAATTTTATCTAATAATAAGGAGAGAAAAACTAAGATCATCCGTACTGTCACACAATTTAAGCGCCAATGTTTAGATAGATATCAACTATATGTGATGATTAAACTTGGAAATTTGTTGTAGAACAAACATTCTAAATAGCTTTTTGTAATCTCAAATTGACTCAAAAAAAATTTTAAAAAAAGATCTAGAGATTTGATATATAAAAAGATTGTACCTATTGAGACTCCAACCTATTGTTAATGGGGGCAGCAGAAAATTTGCAAGCAAAAACATGGAGAAATGCCCTCAAAAGCCTTATAACGAGTGAAGTGCTTGAACAGAAGCCCAAACGGTGGGCTATGAATATATAAAGGTCATAGTGGTGAATGCACCAAGTTCAGGACATTTAGTGCAAAGTCAATATACTTTGTACAAGCTGAATTTGTTAGGTCAAAATCTCAAATTTAATATTTACTTGGAAAAAATGAAAAGGAAAACTGTATAAAAATTTAGATTAGTAAGTTAAGTAGATTCTATAGCGGCAAAAATCTGTACAGATTGAATTCAGCATAACAATCTCACATCTTGGATGCCTCCTTTCTCTTTTTTTCCCATGGTTAGCATTGTCAATTTTGGGAACGTATTTGATGTGCAATAGCTTGTAGAAAATAAAATATCACTATTTTAGTGAATATTTGTATGGTGATTAACTCTTAGATTACATAAATATTTATGAAAGGGAATTTCTCATAACAATACATGCAATTGTCTTCAACTCTATTGTCTCAAGGCAATGTTTGAGACAAAGCAGGGTTGGATGCATCTCTAGAAGCGGGGGATGCATGCTATGTGGAGAAATTTGGAAAATTCAGGTTTTTACAGATTCTGTGTCATAAGTCGACTCATGCACAGGCATAAGTCGACTTATGGTAAGTCGACTTATACAGACTGTTAAGTCGACTTACGTTCTGCTTTGGATTGTTGGTTTTTTGTTCTGCCAAGTCGACTTATCAGGTCTGATAAGTCGACTTACGATCTGTTCTCCAGTTGTTGTTTTTCGCTCTGCCAAGTCGACTTATGCAGACTGTTAAGTCGACTTATGACGGGTTTTTTGGAAAGTTAGAGTTCCTATTTGCAGTCTGTTTGGGTTTCTGTTTTGGTATAAATACCAATACGATTTGAGGGTTTTGTAGGAGCAAATCTGGGGATTTTGGAGCACAGAAAAGAGAGATCTTTCTGAGCTATTTGTTAGGGTTATTGGTTGAGAGTTTGAGAGATTTGTTGGTGAGATTAGTTGGTTCGTTTGAGCGATTTGTAATCTCAATTTGTACTCTCCTTCTCTATTAGTGAAAACCCACCCCCCTTCTTACCCCGTGGACGTAGGCAATTGCCGAACCACGTAAAACTTTGGCTTTCTCTCGGCGTTCGTTGGTTTGGTTTCTCAAAGCATCAGTCACAACAAGTGGTATCAGAGCACGGGCAACGCTTGGGCTATTTGGAGGAGTAGATCGCTTTGGAAGTTCATCTAGGGCTTCGTTTGGTGATAAAGGTGGGATCTTTTTTTGTAAAAATCTCGTCTTTTTCAGTTTGGATCTATTTCTCGTTTGTTTCCGCATTGGTTTGGTGGTGCCTTGAGGATTATGGCCGAGAAAGAAGGAGTTGTGGGCAGTACTTCCGGCGTGAAGACCGTCCAAAGCTTGAATATCCACTCAATGAAGATTGATGTGGAAAAGTTCAATGGCACAAACAATTTTGGACTTTGGCGATGCGAAGTCATGGATGCGCTCAACGCGCAAAATTTGGAAGATACGTTGGAGTTGGACGGGAAACCGGACAACATTGATGAGAAGGTTTGGAAAAAGATGAATCGAACGGCGTGTGGTGTGATTAGGTCTTGTCTCACTCAAGATCTAAAGTATGATGTGATCAATGAGACTTCTGCAAAGAAGATTTGGGAGATCCTTGAGAGCAAGTATTTGACCAAGAGTGTGGAGAATCGCTTGCATTTGAAGAGGAGGCTTTACCGCTTCCAGTTGAAGAAAGGAACCTCCATTGGTGATCACATGAACCACTACACGAAGCTTCTTGCGGATTTGGCGAATGTGGATGTTAAGATTGAAGATGAGGACAAGGCGTTGTTGCTATTGAGTTCCTTGCCTGACGAGGAATATGAGACCTTCGTTCTTACTCTTATTAATGGGAAGGCATCTCTTTCGTATAGTGAGGTCACCGCTGCACTTGTGAATTATCAGCTTCGAAAGAAGGATAAGGAGACTTCGTTTGAGCCGGTAGCGGGGGCGTTGGTCGCAAGAGCAAAGGGTCCAAACCGTAGTGGGAGGTCGCAGTCTAGAGGGGCACATCTTGGAGTTCGTAAGAATCAATGTGCCTTTTGCAAAGAAGATGGACATTGGAAAGCCGATTGCCCAAAGTTAGTTGATCGAGCCGGGAAGAATAAGGGAAAAGCTATTCAAGCTTCAGAGGCGAATGTTGTCAAGGCTAGTGGCAACGATTGAGATTCGGATTCTTCGGGCTACTCGTTATCTGCACTGCAGTCAGTGTGTGTTGCCTACTCTACAGAGTGGATATTGGATTCGGGTGCTACATACCACATTTGTCCTAGGAGGGATTGGTTCTCCAGCTTTCAGGAGTTGGAAAGAGGGGATTTCGTGCTCATGGGGAATGATCACAAATGCTCTATTGGTGGTATCGGTACTGTTCGGATCAGGATGAGTGACGGGGTGATTCGGGAGTTGGTTGGAGTGAGGTTCGTTCCTCAGTTGAAGAAGAACATCATTTCACTTGGAGCTTTGGAGGCAGCAGGCTATAGGGTGACCTTGGCGGATGCACGCTTGAAGGTTACATTTGGGTCCATGATTGTGATGAAGGGCGTCAGAAGGAGAAATTTGTATTATTTGCACGGAAGCACGGTGATTGATAGGGAAATGACGACTTCATCAGATTCGGCTAGACTGTGGCATTGTTTGGTGCTGGGGTATATGATTGGTAATACCGTGCATTGGTTGTTGAGGAGTGCTATGACCTGCAGATTGAAGTCCTGTGAGCACATTGGGATGAGCGAGACCGTGGTGGAGTTTGGCACTTCTATCCATCGAGCGAGGGATCTTATTGGAGGTGTCCAGTCAGGCATTTGGGGGCCTTCCAAGGAGGCATCATTGGGAGGTAATCGTATCTTAGTTTCCACAGTTGGTGATTGTTCTAGGCATTATTGGGTCGCGACCAGTTCCCGTTGGTGTAAAGTCCTAGAAGTCAACAACAATTGGAAGAAGTGTATTGGCAGAAAGGTAACTCATTGTTTCAGCTTTGGTAGGGGTCCTTTCTTGCGTTGGTGCCGAGCTCACGGCAATAGGAGACACTTCATTGGTGTGGAGACTTTGGGGCGACGAGATGAGATGACAGTTTCGATGGGTCGTTCCTTTCTGGAGGAGGATCGGCGTTTGATGTCGAGCATTGGCATTGGTGTGCGGGCTTCGACATATTTGGGTCATCTTATGCATAGGTCGCCGACTGCTGCTTTAGGAGTTATTAGATCTGGTGGAGCTGCTTCAGATTTTGGGTCGCGTCGGATATTTGGATACCCAGCATTTGGTCACATCGTGGATGTGAGATTGGATCCGATTGCGCGTTTGGGGTTCGGAGGCTCAGTTGATTATCGTTTGGGAGCTTCTGATTTTGTTCTGAGCAGGTATGTCACTTTTGACTCTCGGCAGGTGGAGAGTGTTGATCAGGGCATTTGGATATCGCAGCAGGTGGAGAGTGATGCTACTCCACGTTGGGTGGAGATTACTCCACGTACTCCAGATCATACTGCGTCATTTGGGATTCCAGCTGATGTGACACAGGTTGAGGATCATTTGATTTCGGATGCAGATGATGGATTGGTTTTGGATTCGGTGGTAGCTGGTGGACATGATTTGGATACGGCCATTGGTTTACCTCAGATGGAGGTATTTGATTTGTATCAGTTTGGGGGCTATCAGTTGCAGATCCGTTGGCGATATTGGGAAGAGTTGCAGACTTTTCTATTTGTTTGAGGGCCTTTGGAGGCCGTTGGATGAACTACGTGAAGGCTTGATTCCTTGGGCAAAGGATACGTAGGCAGTCATTTTGATGCAGCCGATTTGGTGAGCGACATCGACATTTGGGGTGAGTGTTCGCACTCCCGTTTGGGTCTCATTATGTGAGGCATTTGTTTGGTTGGTGTCGGCTCAGTTTTGGGAAAACTTCGCCGAGGTGGAGAATTGTGGAGAAGAATTGGAAAAAGCAGATTTTTGGTCATAAGTCGACTCATGCACAGGCATAAGTCGACTTATGGTAAGTCGACTTATACAGACTGTTAAGTCGACTTACGTTCTGCTCTGGATTGTTTGGTTTTTGCTCTGCCAAGTCGACTTATCAGGTCTGATAAGTCGACTTACGATATGTTCTCCAGTTGTTGTTTTTCGCTCTGCCAAGTCGACTTATGCAGACTGTTAAGTCGACTTATGACGGGTTTTTTGGAAAGTTAGAGTTCCTATTTGCAGTCTGTTTGGGTTTCTGTTTTGGTATAAATACCAATACGATTTGAGGGTTTTGTAGGAGCAAATCTGGGGATTTTGGAGCACAGAAAAGAGAGATCTTTCTGAGCTATTTGTTAGGGTTATTGGTTGAGAGTTTGAGAGATTTGTTGGTGAGATTAGTTGGTTCGTTTGAGCGATTTGTAATCTCAATTTGTACTCTCCTTCTCTATTAGTGAAAACCCACCCCCCTTCTTGCCCCGTGGACGTAGGCAATTGCCGAACCACGTAAAACTTTGGTGTTTGTGTTTTTTGTTTGGTCTTTCTCTCGGCGTTTGTTGGTTTGGTTTCTCAAAGCATCATAGTTGGTTGTTTGTTTGGCTTCCGCGCCGTGCACAACATGCTAATCTTCTAATGATGTAAGCAACGCCTAATAAGAGAGAGTTGATTGCATCTTTTGAAAGAGAGGATATATGTAATAATTCAGAGTTTTGTGCGTACGAGAAGGGAGAGGAAGAGAGATTTGTATCTTCTTGAAATATGTAAATATAATTAGCTACATAAACCTAAAACATTTTCTGCACACAACAAAATTGACACAATCGGTATCAATAGAATAGATTATATTACCCGCAGGGGGTCGCCCAGTTGGTTAGGTGTGTGAAATCCCCATGAGTTGGCCGGGAAAGTCCCTCTAATCATAATATCAGAACGCCAAAGTTATGATAAGACTTGAGTATAATAGTTTTATATTCTAACGTATCCCCGCAAATTGAACGCATTTTTTTAAAAATCCGCATTAAATTCACGTCCAGTAAGATTAAACCCTTTTTTATGGTCAAAACCTAGACTCACATAGCGAAAACCTTTTTTTAATCCACATTAAATTTGCGGCAAACAAGATTCGAATATAGGGTTAGCTCTTATGCCTTGTAAAAGTCCCTCTAACTAAAACTCTAAAGTTAAAGACAAAGATTGAAAATTATATTTTTATATTCTGAGACTAGCCAAGTTTTGAGAGTCAGGCTTGAACTTGGGCCTTATATATAAAAGAAGCTTACTTTATGTTTGAAAATTGGACAAACAAACTTAATTACATACGAAATACTAAGAAATGCAAATTATTATTAGGGAAAAATGCTTCTAGCCCCCAAAAGCCAAGTGAGCGTGCTTCCCACCCCCAAGACTTGGTCAATGGGTGTTTTACCCCTAAAAATAAAGAATCTGTTCTCTGAGCCCCCAAAACACAAAACCCAAGACATTAAAACATGTGAAGACTATAATACCCTTCTCTCTCTCTTTCTTTTTTTATTAAAATATGATGAGGATTATTTTATTATTTTTGATTTTTTTTCTCTCTCTCTCTTTATCATGATGTACTAAGAGGATAGTTGAAATGATTGATGAGGATTATTTTATTATTTTCGTTTTTTATTATTTTCGTTGTTTGTATTGGGAGGTTGTTAAAGTTACGGGTTAATTGTTAAGGTTACGAGTTAATTGTTAATGTTACGGGTCAATTGTTAAGGTTATGAATCCTCTCTCTCTCTCTCTCTTTCTTTTTTAATTAAAATATGATGAGGGTTATTTTATTATTTTTGTTTTTCTCTCTCTTTATCATGATGTCCCAAGAGGATAGTTGAAATGATTGATGAAGATTATTTTATTATTTTTGTTTTTTATTATTTTGGTTGTTTGTATTGGGAGGTTGTTAAAGTTACGGGTAAATTGTTAAGGTTACGAGTTAATTGTTAATGTTACGGGTCAATTGTTAAGGTTATGAATCCTCTCTCTGTCTTTCTTTTTTAATTAAAATATGATGAGGGTTATTTTATTATTTTTGTTTTTCTCTCTCTCTTTATCATGATGTACCAAGAGGATAGTTGAAATGATTGATGAGGATTATTTTATTATTTTCGTTTTTTATTATTTTGGTTGTTTGTATTGGGAGGTTGTTAAAGTTACGAGTTAATTGTTAAGGTTATGAGTTAATTGTTAATGTTACGAGTCAATTGTTAAGGTTATGAATCATCTCTCTCTCTCTCTCTCTCTCTCTTTCTCTCTCTCTCTTTCTCTATCATGATGTTTCTTTGATGATATTGAAATGATTAAAGAGGATTATTATTTTATTATTTTTGTTTTTTATTCTTTTTGTATTTTTAGAATATTCGTTGTTAAGGATAATGGTTGGTTGTAAAGGTTATGCATTGATTGGTAAGGTTACGGGTTGGTTGTTAAGGTTAAGGGTTTGTTGTTAAGGTTATGGGTTTGTTGTGTAGGTTACGGATTTGTTGTTAAGGTTACGGGTTTAATTGTTAATGTTACGTGTTTAATTGTTAAGGTTACGGATTTAATTGTTAAGGTTACGTATTTAATTGTTAAAGTTACGGGTTTAAATGTTACGGTTACGGTTTATTAATTGTTAATGTTACGGTTTAATTGTTAAGGTTACGAGTTTAATTGTTAAGGTTACGAGTTTAATTATTATGGTTACGGTTTTAATTGTTAAGGTTACGGGTTTAATTGTTAAGGTTACAGTTTAATGGTTACGGTTTTAATTGTTAAGGTTACGGGTTTAATTGTTAAGGTTACAGTTTAATTGTTAAGGTTACAGTTTAATTGTTAAGGTTACGGTTTAATTGTTAAGGTTACGGTTTAATTGTTAAGGTTATGGGTTTACTTGCTTTCTTGCAAAAACGCCCTTTTTAGGGGAGTTTTGGCAAGAAAGCTGCCAAAAGCTGTCAGCTTTGACAGGGAATCAGGGGCAAAAGAAGCAAAACAAACAGCCCCTGACCCGCAAGATTTCGCAGGCGTCAATGTGACTTTAACCAGATGTACTTATTCACACACCATTTATGGCACCTGAAGTTTCAGAATTTTTGCACAATATGTGTTTGCGGAGAAAGTTGTTGTTTTCATTGCTACGAATCTATTACAACTTTAGTCGTTACAATAAACTCGAATGAAATAAAAAGTTAATCTTTTTATAAATTCTCCTTACACAATGAAAATAAAAAAAGTTTACAACTTTATCAAACAAACGCAGAGATCGTTCATCGGTCTTCTGCTTGCGTGGGTGTCTTTGCCTGTGCCGGGGTTTATCCGTGGACCACCGTCGATCAGATCTGATTGCTGAAAAATTGGGCAGAGCTTCGTCGATCCGCGAGGAGATCTAGAAACTTGAAGCGCCTATCTCGGATAAAGCGAGATATTTGCTCTTCTTAGTATTACCACAATGTGATAATACTAAGGATCGGGTGCGGGTGATGTAGATCTGACGAAGAACTCTCTTGCGTTGAAGAACTAGATCCGATCTCTCCTCCTCCTCTCTTGAAATCTGTGTACTTTTAAGTCTTCAATCCGGCAGGGCTTCGCCAAGACACAAGAATTCCAGATCTGAAAAAATGAGGCCTAAGGCTTGTATTTATAGGCATGAGGGGTTGCGGAGCGGTTAAAACGGGCTAAAGGCCCAAATCTGCCTTGGAGGGTGTCTCTCAAAATCCGGGACACCCCTGGGGTGTCTCAGAAAACCCGAGACACCCCTGGGGTGTCCTGGAAAATCCGAGACACCCCTGGGATATCTTCGTCCGAACTCGGATTTTAGTGATTCGAAGTGCGTTGGAAGTCTGACGAAGAGTTCTATCAGCTCCAATGGTTGGATTATCTGTAGAATGAACGAGACACGAAGGGCGTTGTTCTTTTCGTAACATCGCGGGGCTCTCGATTAGCCCGTGCCTTCGTTATCCCGAAATTCTGTCAGCTCACGTAGTTCGTCGGTTCACTTCAATCGTTCACCGGCGTCAGTCGAACTCCTGTGAACCAGATAGTGACATTCATTGTCGTTCCTTAACACTGAGCTGTTCGTGGAGACCTATAGGCAATTTTCGATGCCTACAATATGTTCTTGAAGCATGTACCATTGGGACTTAAAAATGACATTCCGTCGATCTCTCAGGCTTCTCTTTCACAAACTACGCATCAATCTAGCAAACAGCTGGCTTATGGAAAACCTATAATGAAATGGGGGGAGATTGACCAATCAAGAAAAACAGCAAAAGGCTGCCCGTACATACATTCATTCATTCGGCGGCACAACATTCAGCACCAAAAGAAAAGGAGCCAAAATCATTCGTGAAGCTAAAATTAGAGACTAACAAATTAAGTTCGACAAATATCTAAGTCAGAATAAGAAGCTTTATGCCACAGAAAGAAAAGGGCAAACAATATAATTGTTGGCCAAGTGTAAAGTTAGGAAGCGCACAGCTTCATTTTCTTTTCATGGAGAGGTTAAGTTCCTAATTCTGCTCGATCGTCTGACTGGAGTCATTGCTTCCTCATCTTTACATCCCTGGTGAACACAGAAGTACAGCGAAAGTCAGTACAAAATTTCTTCAGTTTGAGTTACAAAGGAAACAAATAAGATAAAGATAATTATTACTTGCCTTTTTGGCTGATAGTCTCTCATAGGTGGTAAAACTTCCGTAAGAAGTGGATGAAGATACTGCAGAGTCCCTTCTCAGGCTCCTCTCATTGCTCAAACGCCCGCTAGAAGATGAAGTGTGATTCCAGCTACTGCTCAATTCAGAGGAAGATTCCTTGGCTTGATCATAGGGCCGACTGCTTCCTGAAATTGATCTGACTTTTTGTGTTTCTTCTCTTGTGTTTGCAATCCTTGGTGCTTGCCTCTGCTTCGCATACAGAACAGCCATGGCAGGCAGCGCCGAAAGTGCTACAGATAATCCAAAAATAATTGCAAAGTTCATTGATTTTAGGTCATGACCATGTGGGATTTCATAATCCCCTTCCAACTCTGGCTGGTTGTCAATAAAACTAGCAGATTGGGTATGGTCACTGCAATCTTCATCCTCAATAAGTGCAGATTTAGCAATGATTTCAGAGATCTTGTCTTCTTTGTTGATGTGTGATGACTCTTGTTCCACTTCTCCATCACCTTCAATAATCCTTTTCTCCATCTCATAACCAACAGTATATGCATCTACCGCACCTTCATACACCTCCATTTCAATTTCCTGAGAACCAATTTCACCTTCAATCAAATCTTCAGACAAGGCAATCTCAATCATCTCAGCTTCAGCTTCAGTGTAACTCATCGTATCCACATCTATCACATCTTTAGAAACAGCTGTTTCAATTTCCTGAGAACCAGCAACACCTTCAGTCATATCTTCAGACGCCACAAACTCAATCTTCTCAGCTTCGGCTTCAATGTTCATGGTATCTGTATCTACCACGTCTTGATAACAAACTTCACCTTCAATCACGTCTTGTGACACCGCAATCTCATTCTTCTCAGCTTCGGCTTCAATGTAACCCAGCGTATCTTCAGACGCCACAAACTCAATCTTCTCAGCTTCGGCTTCAATGTTCATGGTATCTGCATCTACCACGTCTTGATAACAAACTTCACCTTCAATCACGTCTTGTGACACCGCAATCTCATTCTTCTCTGCTTCGGCTTCAATGTAACCCAGCGTATCCGTGTATATCACATATTTAGAAACAGCCGTTTCAGTTTCAAGAGAACCAACATCAGCTTCAGTCACATCTTCAGACACCACAATCTCAGTCTTCTCAGCTTCGGGTTCAATGTTCCTGGTGTCTATATCTAGCACATCTTGATAATAAACTTCACCTTCAATCACATCTTCGGACACCACAATCTCACTCTTCTCAGGCTCATCTTCAGAAACCTCTTCTTGCAAATTTTGCTTGATAGCTTGTTTGGTTTCAATCAGGGGCCGATAGCTGAGATCCAAGCCTTCAGTTTCATCTACAGCTGAGGATGTCATATTAGCTAAATGGTAGAAACCAAAATCATCCTTTTGTGTGTCAGAGCTCAAATAAGCAATTGAATCTGCTGACCAGTCCTTGAATTTACTAGCTAGACCGCTAAGATTTCCGCTAAAAACAGCCAAATAATCTTTCAGATACAGATCCTCAAACTCTCGATAGAATGGAACATGAACTTTTGGAAGAGACCCTACTTTCACCATGGAAGAAGAAATGATGGGTGAATCCAAAACGGGCATATAAATGGAAGCCATGAACAAAACCAACAGAAACAAGACCAATTTGGATCTCCTAAAAGAACAGGGCTTCAAGAGTTCAGATTTAGATTCAGGTTCAGAAACAAGGGTTTCACTCACAGACTTGAGTTCAGGTTCAGGTTCAGGGACAAAGGTTTCAGTCACCGGTTCGACCTCTTTTACCTCAGTTGGAAGCAACTCTTCTTCTGAACCCTTCTCTTTGTCCTCAGTGAGTGAAGTCACATCATCAGGTTCAGAAACTTGGGCTTCATTCACAGAATTGAATGGAGGTTCAGAAACAAGGGTTTCTGTCACAGATTCAACCTCTCTTACCTTAAGTGGGAGAAACTCTTCTTCTGAATCGTTCTCCTCAGTGAGTATATTCACATCATCATCCTCACTGCTCTCTGAAGAGAAGCCATCTTCAAGCCTTCTCCCTTCATTCACATCAAGAAACTCTCCTTCCCTACTGAGGTAGTGCTCGATACGAGGATTAGGCCTATAATGAAGAAATTGAGGTCTAGGAGAAAGATAATTGATCTTGGGATCGTAAGGAGTAAGAGATCGGTCAGCATTCGTAGGAGCATTAAATGGCAGAGGGGAAACTTGGTGGTTCTTGATTCTAGACACCCCCTTCTTCAGCTCGCCACTACTCGAACCTTCTTGAAACCTTAAACCCATCTCTGATTTCGACCCCACTCCCTCACTCTCAACCCCGACACCTACTTCTTTGTTTGGAAACTCGAGAGAATGGGATACTGAACTTATAACCTCATTCCTCTCTTGAAGAATCCTCTTTCTTGGGGAAGCAGAAACAACCTTCGAAGCCGCAGAGATAGTGGGAGCCATGAAATTCTTGGACCCCTTTGAAGAAGAGATTGCAGGGGGTCTCGTCTTTGCATTCTCTTTCTGTGAGTTCGGCGACAAAGGCTTAGAAAAAGAGCTTCTTTGGGGAAATTCTACCAACGACAAAAAATCGAAAGTTCAGATAAAGAAACAAAAGAGGCCATTTTTGTGAAACAAGAAGTTGGGTTAAAGAGAGGACGTGATTACCTTTGCTCCTTCTGATGCTGTTGCTGATCTCAGGGGTTTTGGGTCGGCTTGGATTGGGGGAAGGAGACCTTGCTGCCATTGATCTTTGCTTTTCCTTCCCTTTCTTTGGTAATTGGGATTTTCCCTCTTTTACCCCCCTTTGATGCGAGGATATGAGATGTATGACTTGGATTGGAGACGGAGGGAGAGAGAGTTGAAGGGAATTTTGAGAAAAAGAAGGAGTTTGACGAGATTAAAAGAGACGAGAGAGATTTTTATTTTTATTTTTTGCTACTTCTAACTGTAACGTCCAATTTCTCCTTCCAACTTTTGATCTTTTTGCATTTTTTAAAAAAAAGTGACCGTTGAGGCTTGCGTTCAAAATGCTGGGAGAAGCCTAGGATGATGGAATTCGACCGTTCGGATTCTTTACTCGTCGCATTCTTTTGGACTGGGCTTCCAGTAGATAAAGGCCTAAACCCATTTCGTCGTATTGGATCTCATGATTCAGGAATCATAGAACACCTCAAATAGGTCAACGTAAGCTGCGAGCAATACCCAAAACAATAACAAAACTATCAGCCATATTACAGCAATAAATGCTGATATTTACGTTACAGATTGGTAGACTGACCAATTAATACAGGTCACACACAAGAAGTTATTATAAGATGGGAAAATGTCAAGGCCCTAAAATCAAAAACTTCTTGTGTTTTTAGCTCCTCCACTTTTTTCTCACGTGGTTCAGCCTCAAAAGCAAAAACTCTATGTTCTGCAGCCTTTCTTTAACAATTATTACATGTCAACTAAGAATAGAGAGAATAAAAAGTAAAAACCCCCAAAATGTTCTTATCTCCTCTATTCTTTCATGTTAAGTCCAAAAACAAGTTGAATTAGACTTAACATGAAAGTTCATATCATGTTAAGTCTAATTCGGTTCATGTTTAAATCTAATTTAATTCATTTTAAGTCTAATTTAAATTACGTTATGTCTAATTCAACTAGTTTCAAGTCTAATTTAATTCATGTTAAGTCTAATTCAACTTGTTTTAAATCTAATTTCTTGTTAAGTCTAATTTAATTCATATTAAGTCTAATTTAAATTCTTTTAAGTCTAATTTTAATCATGTTATGTCTAATTCAACTTGTTTTAAGTCTAATTTAATTAAAATTAACATGAAATAGACTTAACATGATTTAAATTAGACTTAACGTAATTTAAATTAGACTTAAAAGGAATTTAACATGATTAAAATTAGACTTAAAATAAGTTAAAATAGACTTAACATGATTCATGTTAAGTCTAATTCAACTTGTTTTTAGACTTAAAATAAGTTGAATTAGACATAACATGATATAAATTAGACTTAAAAGAAATTAAATTAGACTTAACATGAATCAAATTAGACTTAATATGAAATTAGACTTAAAATGATTTAAACTGGACTTAGCACGAACCAAACTGGAGTTAACACGGATCAAACTGGACTTAACATGAAACTATATTTAACATGAACCAAATCTGGACTTAACATAAAATTGGACTTAACATGAACCAAAACTAGACTTAACATGAAACTAGACTTAACATGAACAAAAAACTGGACTTAACATGAAACTAGACTTAACATAAACCAAACTGGACTTAACAATGATAAACAGGACTTAACATGAAATTAGACTTAACATGATAAACTGGACTTAACATGAACCAAATTGGTCTACCAGTTTGGTTCATGTTAAGTCTAATTTCATATTAAGTCTAGTTTCATGTTAAGACCAGTTTATCATGTCAAGTCCAGTTTGGTTCATGTTAAATATAATTTCATATTAAGTCCATTTTTGGTTCATGTTAAGTATAGTTTCATGTTAAGTCCAGTTTAATCCGTGTTAACTCTAGTTTGGTTCGTACTAAGTCCAGTTTAAATCATTTTAAGTCTAATTTAAATTATTTTAAGTCTAATTTCATATTAAGTCTAATTTGATTCATGTTAAGTCCAATTTAGTTCATGTTAAGTACAATTTAATTCATGTTAAATCTAATTTAATTCTTTTTAACTCTAATTTATATAATGTTATGTCTAATTCAACTTATTTTAAGTCTAAAAAACAAGTTGAGTTAGAGTTAACATTAATTATGTCAAGTCTATTTCAGCTTATTTTAAGTCTAATTTTAATCATGTTAAATTCCTTTTAAATCTAATTTAAATCATGTTAAGTCTAATTTAACTTTTTTAAGTCTAATTTCATGTTAAGTCCAATTAAATTAGACTTAAAATAAGTTGAATTAGATATAACATGATTTAAATTAGACTTAAAAGGAATTAAATTAGACTATATGAATTAAATTGGACTTAACATGAAATTAGACTTAAAACAAGTTGAACTAGACTTAACATGAATTCAAATAGACATGAAACAAGTTGAATTAGACATAACATGATTTAAATTAGACTTAAAATGAATTAAATTAGACTTAACATGAACCGAATTAGATTTAACATGAAATAGACTTTCATGTTAAGTCTAATTCAACTTGCTTTTAGAGTTAACATGAAAGAATAAAGAAGATAATAGCATTTTGGGGGGGTTTTACTTTTTATTTGTCTATATGCTTAGTTGGCATGTAATAATTACTAAAGAATGGCTGCAAAACATAGTGTCCTATTTTAAGGGCTGAACCACATAAGAAAAAGTCAAAGGGGCTGCATCACATTAAGATTTTGTTTTTGGAGTCTTGACACAATTTTCCCTTATAAGATTATCCTTGGATCAAGCAATTTAATCTACTTGCCAAATAAATCAAAAGCCATAGAAAGTAACAGAAAATGATAATGTTCAAAGTTGATAGTAACAAAATAATTAGGGTTCTTTGCATGCATACCCCTTAAATCATGTAAATTTGCAACAATATAGCCAAATCTTAGTATTTGCAAAACTACCTCTCAACTCGACTTTGCAAAAAAAAAAAAAAAAACTAAAATCAACAATTCATCAACTCGGTGCTAAAATTTTAACTATTTTATTGATAGTTTTTACAATGCAATTACAAATTAGCTTATTAAAGTTTATGATTAATTGCTTTTTGGATTTCCCCCCCAAAATTGATAATTTTGAGAGGTAGTTTTGCAAATATTGAGGTTTGGATGGTATTTTTGCAAATACCAATGATATAAGGAGCATATATGCAAATAACCCAAATAATAATTGGAAGAAAATAATCAACAATCAATCCGTCCCACAAGGATCTTTAATTCAGTAATAGATAAAGCAATAGGGAGTTTAATATGCAAATATAAAAAGCAGAAGAAATGAAAAGGCAAAAAAAAAAAGGCCATACAAAAAGGTAAAAATGTAGCAAGTCCTAACGGCATGATGACAATCCTCAGGCTCTTCACAGATATAAAAAATAATGGTGGTCACTCTCGGATGCTGGAATAGTTTTGCATCCTCAGAGGTCAAAGAACCAAAAGCAAGCAGTCCGCCAAATAAATCAAGTCCTTGATGTTCATATAATGGCTGATTATTCTCTGTTGATCTTTCTAGCACCTGGACCACCTTCATTTTACATGGAGATTTGCTCCAGTACCTCAAACCTCAAGAATCTGAGACACCATTCAGTTCACAGTAAAAGTTGTGGCCTCAAGCCTCACTGAAATGTAAATTTGTAGCAATAGCCAGTAGCAATTAACAACAGATGTATGATGAAGAGGCGTGAATAACCGAGTGAACCAAAGAAAAAAAAAAGACAACAGAAGATTAAGGTTAAGCCATAAAAATAACCAGCCTACCAAGTAGGTTATGCTGAAGAAATCGTATCCTTCAAAAAATTTGATCACAAAGGTATCCTTTTGGGAGAAGATATTTGTTGCCTTCTGTATGGCTTCTGTATGACTATGAGATGTATCCTTCCACTATAACACTGTCATTCGAAACCCTCAACTGTAAATCCCTCAAACTCAGTGATTTCTTTCCAAATGTCAAAATGGAGGACTCCTGATTTCTATCAAGAACCGGGCACAGTTCCATTACAACCTTTTGCACCAAATTCTCATTCAGACCGTCCTCTAGAAGATCACCAAGATACCCATCATCCCCTCTGATATCTATTATCACACTACACAATCCCTGCTGGCCACAGTAATCTAGAATCTTCCTCAAATTCATCTGTTCAATAACAACTACTTCAACACCTTCAGATTCTGGCTCTACAATTATTTGTTTTTCTGCCAAGACAACTATACGAGCTGAAGATTTAGAAATGGAATCGGGAATCTGTAATGAATCCCCGTTTGTTATAACAATTTGAAGAGGTTGATTGGCTCCAGTTTCATGTGATACTGGTAAATTGGAGGTTCTGGTGTAAAAGTTACTAGAACTAACAATTCCATCATACTCCTCAAGAAGTTTAGAGTAGTATCCACCTGATTCCTCAGCTCCTCTTCCGAGATGATTTAGAATTCTTCCATTAAATGACATCGAGTACCTGAAACTCATAGGGTTAAAATGCAGCAGCAAACTAATAGATTGAAGGATGCACAAAGTCGGACATGAGTGGCACAGCTAAATCCATAAGAAACTACGAAGTAGAGGAGAAGCCAAAGTATAGGTTTATGTATTTAACTACAAGGGGAGTTTCTAAAATCTAGTGTAAGGTTCTCACATAAAATATTTTCAGAAACATGTATCATATGCCTCTTCCCGAGAATGTCATCAGTTAAAAGCCCAAATTGGATAACTCATTATTGCCTTTTGAGCCAAAAGGTTATAAAGAACAATGAATCTATAAGGTAATACTTTGATGGTTTTGAGAGCTTATTGAACCACATCAATGTCATAATCACCATATTGTCATGTCATATCAACATGTTACGCAAAAAATAAATAAATAAATAATAAAATAAAATAAAACTGAGAAATATGCATCCTAGTAGAGTCTGAAACTCAAATATGACACCTAAAATAGATATGTATTAAATTAGGTATGTCTCCTCTTGAATTTAAATTCATGTGAATGGAAAAGCAAACAGCAAGAAGTGTTCTTACTTCCTAGCATTTTAAATGTTAAAAAGATGGCAAGACAAGGAACATCAAATTGATGTAAATATTCATCATATAAATATTATGATTGAAATTTGACCTAATTGGTTACAGCATATAAACTTCAGATATGCATGTCAAAGCCTGGATAATCTTGCCATCCATAACCTAATAATAGCCTATTTGTAGTGTACGGATCATGCCTACTGCATCTGACAAAGAAATCAGCATAAAAAATTTTCTAAAAGAAGTGCTAGATGGCTTACCTCAGGGTCACAAATGGCTTTCCGGTAAGCATTCGATGTGTATATGCCTCAATGAGTTTCTGACATAACAATTCTTCTATACCTACTGTGACATCTATTCCTGATGCTCTGAGTTTTTCAACACCTTTTGAAGCTACAATTGGATTTGGATCCACCATTCCAACAACCACCCTTTTCACTTTCGCACGAATTAATGCTTCTGTGCAAGGAGGGGTTCTCCCATAATGGTTACATGGTTCTAGGCTCACATAAGCAGTTGCATTCTCTGCCAGAATGCCAGCATCCCTTAGAGCGAACACCTGCAAGTTTTAAATTTTTTATCAACTATATCAAATTAAAGCCTGGATCAATGACAAAAAACAACAAACTCACCATCAGATGAATTATGTGTGTCAGTCATAGTTTAAAATTCAGGTTCATGACTAGATAAATATGCTGAGGAAAATAGGAATAGCATACATCTTGAAACCATACTGAAAAACAGATCAAAGTTCTATAGGCACTTTGAGAACTCATAGAATCATACCTTGATATTTTTTATGGAGCAATCATGTATTTTTAAACAACAAGAAGGTTATGTTCTCTAAAGAATCTCAATATATTGGTATTGAAGTTAGTGGATAGTTCTTGAATTCAGGCTGAATTGAGGCTATTTCTTGAACTGAAAAGAGTTAAACCACATCCATACACACTATAATATCTCAAAAAATAGTCTCACATGGAAGGCGTAAGGAAACTCTCTGGTATATAATCGTTATTTTCAAGTCAAAAATTAATCATAGCTACCATTTTTAGAGAGGAATCGTGTAAACAGCTTCATATAGTTAAGCATGAACTAATGATTCATATAGTTAAGCATGAACAAATGATATCAATGTCAGGACATGCACTTTACTTTCGAAGCCGAGGATTTCTAGGTTCTCTTAGACTACATTAATGAAATTAGGAAGAACGAACCTATAAACACATCTCCCCTTGAAAGAAAATGGTAGGTCAAAGTGCCAAACATGTTATGAGGACTACTTATGATTGCTATGGATACGGAGTCCCCCAATTAGAAAAAGGCAGAGAAACATATGTATGATGTGCATAAAAAATAAATATTAAACTTTTCCTTTCAACTACATTTCCTTGAATAGTAGGTAATAAAAGAAAGAAAAAAACCAAAAAAATTGTGTGATGCACATCTTAGTAGTCTGATGTTCACTTTGCACTTCAAAATACAATCTCTCAACCCATCTTGGAATCTGATAGATAATTAGATACTATCTGAACTTTGATAGTATCCAAATATGCTTACAATATCTCGGATTCGGATCTTCGGTAATTGGAGAGGGTCCAATTCTTTCAATCCTCACCGTCAATCACAAATTTAAAGGACAAAGTATCTCCATGTAGGATTCTAACAATCAAGCTAGTGGTTTTCCAACTACCCTTATAATTTTGGTGAATATATTTTATTTATGATAATATCAACTATTTACAAAAAATAATTGAAAACTAAAATAATTAAATTATACACTCCAATTAATACGTGCCAAAATGTAATTAATAGATGGCAAAAATACTCTTTCAGATTATGAGTAAGATTTTTATACTGCTTTCAACATGTAGAGGTGATTTATTTGTTTATGTAATATATTCTAAAAATATATAAATTGGGTTATATTTGAGCAGGATGACGAACAAATTATGTTACCTTCATCGATTAGGTGCGATATTTTTTTAGCGATTTATTTTTCTTGGCACAAGATTTAATTGATAGTTAAAAAGAATCCTAATCCCACTATCCCAATACCAAAGTTGTAACAGTTTATATACCCTACATCTAGTAAATATTAATTGATATCAAAACATTTATTTATTTACATCAATTGGTGTTGTAAAACCGGTGGCTACCACTGAACCAATAATTCTTCAGGTTCCCAATAAGATTTAGGAACAAACAAGAACACCGACGGTCCTCTGCAAACCCATCACATTGTAAACCAAGGGAACTCATGCTTGACATTTGAACAGAAATTGGAATTTTCCTCAAATTTCATCAAAATAAAAAAAGAAGAAGAAAATACCTCAGCGTGAGGCTGACCAGCTTTAGGATGAAACCCTTGACCCACAATTTCATCGCCCTTGACGATGACGCAGCCCACCATTGGATTAGGGGCTGTTCGCCCAATTGCTTTCTTGGCCAATTCGACGCATTTCCTCATGTAGAACCCATCGTCCTCCATTTTCTCACACACAATGATTTTATTTGAACTGCGACTGTTGTTGCTTCCAACTGGAATTGGGGGGTAACGGGAGCCAAATCCCTTGAGATAGGAATTAGGGGTCTTTGATTTAGAGTGAGAGGGTTTGGAGAGTTTTGTTTGGTGTGGGATTGGGAGCAAAGAATTTAGGAGAGAGTGAGACATTGGAAAGGAGGGAGGAGAGAGGGAGGGCGTGGGGGGAAAATGACTTTGATGCAAGGGGATTTGGGTTAAATTTTGGGGGCAAATTTCACAAACCCCCTGACTTTTGAGCTGATTTGAACAAAAAAATAAAAATAAAAAACTCCAAACTTTGAAAATTAGATATAACCCCTAACTTTTGGGATTTTCGCTAAACCGCTCGGAAAAAGTTGCGCTGCAATTTGAGGCAACCTTAGGGAAAATCACATAAATTTCATTCTAGGAAAATAGGGGGAAACGAGTTTAAAACTGTTTTCTATTTTTTGCGATGGTGGGGTACGTTAGGAATAAAAATTCTATAGAAACGCTCTCTACAATGTGGTATAGAGATAGGATTAGTTAAAGTGTAAAGTTCAAAAATTGTAGCTATTCTATATAATATGATTTTTCTAACGGGTGCCATGGATGCTTTTTAGGAGAATAGATAAAGAAATGAAAGTCACTTATTTTACGAAAGTAAAATTGCATCCATGTCATGATATACTCAAAAGTAAAGATATTCTGAAATTATTAATTTATTAATTTTAATTAAAGTTATATTAAGTTTTCAATAAAATATTTTTTTTCACTAATGGGGGGTTAGTCATCTAGAACTTAAAATTAGAACTGAGATAATTTATGGGATAAATTTTTAAGGTGTTAGTCACATAGAACTAGAAAATGGGATATTTTTTTATAGTGTTAGTCAAGTAGAACTTTTGTAGAACTAGAACTGTATTATTTTTTTTTTGTGTTAGTCAAGTAGAATTCTACTAGAATTAGAATTGGGATAATTGGTCATAATTATCCCACAAATTATACTACCTATATATATAACCATAAGTTCTTCTCTCTCAAATTATCCCACACATTGGAAAGAATACAATTGGGGGAAAAAAGTGAAACGTCACCTCCCTCCCTCTTGGTTAGTTTCTCCGCCTAGAAAATTTCTCTGCCATGAAGTCAATCATCCGTTCATTTTTCTGTCTTTACTTTGTTTTTGTGATGATTAGATCTTTTATTATTATCTTCAAGATGTATTACTCTATTGATAGCTTTTTGACGTTAAATTACTTTATTATTATTTGTTTGATCTAAGTTTTCTCTCCACAACAGTGGTTTAGGTTAAGAATATAGTGTTGGTGGGTTAGTGCTAAAGATATGCGGGCTATTTATGTTTTTTTTATAAGTTAGAAAGCAACTTTGCGATCACATTGATGATTAGATGTTGAATGGTTAATGTTGATATCTATTATTATTAAATCGGCTCAGTAAATTGATTGGGATATTTATAATTCATCTGTCGATCATCTGTTTAGCGGCCATGGATGATTCATGTGTACATTTCATTTATTTGCTGATTTGGTTTCAGCGATCATGATGAGATTGGTCCAAAGGGTTAATGGCTGAAAAATGCTTATTTTTCTTTCTTTATGATGTTATGAGATTTGAACTTCGACATTTATGATCCTCCACTAGAAGCTCCACGAAATGTTGCTGATGCAGACAATGACTCCGATAAAGAAGACGAGTTACAGACTCAACGAGCAGCTGTAGGAGCTTGGAGAAATTCTATGGCAGATGCCATGTGGGATGATAGAAAGCATGTGGGATGATGGAAGTCGAGTCACTCTAGGGATTTAGATTTTTATTTATTTGTAAATTATTTTATTATTTGAGATGAATAGTGATGCTTTATTGCATTATATTTTATAGTTATTACTAGAATTTGCTTATCAATATTATATTATTTTTAATATACAATTATTAACAATAGTATTTTATACCCACCATTACCCCCCACCAAATTATCCTACCAAATTATGCAACTTCATAATATTATCCATCAGTATCCCACCAAATTATCCTACCAAATTGTCACACTTTAAGAATTACCCATCATTGTTCCACTAAATTATCCCAGTGTTAAAAATTTATCCTACTTTACCAATTATCCCAGTTCTACTTAAAAAGTTCTAGGTGAGTAAAACCTGATTTCCCATTTCGTGATAAAATCGATACTTTTCTAGGATAAATTACACATACAATAAATTTGGCATGTACCTTTTTTCCTTTTTTGAGAAAAATCTTTTCTCAATTCCACAGATGTGTGTTATGAAAAACTTTTCATAGATACTAGCATATTAGCACGTGCAAACGCACCTGTTTGTAGTGTTCACTTTTTTATTTAGACAATCCTTAGTCCAACATTTTAGTTATATTTATTATCACTTAGCGTGCATTTACTGGATTTCTAGAAAAATATGCACATGCATAATCACATGATGAAATTAATGAGAATTTTTCGTTATCATTTAATGTTGTATCATGGGATATATTAATTTTAGATTGAACTAACAACAACTATTGTAGATAAGAAAATTTATCCAATCTTTATGAATTTGTTACCATTATTATGAAAACTATAATGTTTTTATTTCTTAAAACACATCTTTAATTATATATTATATACGTATTAAATAAGACTCATTTAAAATATGTAAACTATCTAGTTTACATTGCGTTGTATTTTTTACTTTAGTCAATTATATAATTGTAAAAGTGTTATATGTATGAAATTTTAAATTTAAGAAAGAGATGGGCAAAGAGATAGGATGCATTTAATGAGAGGAAAAGTGGACAAAACGTCCAATTAATCTTCTAATGGTCGAGAAACTCTCCATCTCCAAAGTTTAGGCGGTTATCTTTTTTTTTTTCCAAATTCAGAGATGTTTCCTGCAAATCACCCTAAAATCTAGGGGTTTTGTGAAACTTAAACCGCGGATCTTAGAATGGACATCGGGCACGCAAGTGCTACAACACCCGAACCCGTTAGGTTACTAGGCGTCCAGGGTTTATAAAAACAGCCGGACCTCCTCTTTCGATTACAGAACAACCTAGAAGCAGCCGCCCCCTTTTTCTATCGGTTCCATCTCGCTTCATCAACAATGGTAAATATCAGGGTTTCAACTTTTTTTTTTTCCGGTTTATATTCTCGCTCTCTCATAAATATCTGTATCAAAAATACTTAATTTTTCAGGGCACAGAAGTTGCTGTGAATCCAAAGGCCTATCCTTTGGCCGACGCTCAGCTGACAATCACAATCTTAGACCTCGTGCAGCAAGCTGCTAACTACAAGCAGCTCAAAAAAGGCGCAAATGAAGGTTATTTTCCGTTGAAAATTTTCATTTTGTCCTTTTTAGTTTTTGGGGATAAAAAGGTTTAAAAAAATTTTAATTTTTTTTGGATTGCAGCGACGAAGACGCTAAATCGGGGGATTTCGGAGTTTATTGTGATGGCGGCTGATACCGCTGGAGATTCTTCTCCATCTTCCTTTACTTGCGGAGGACAAGGTATCTAGCTTTCAGAAAAATAAAGGAAATGAGTATTTTTTTTTATATCGGGTTGTTTATTGTGATAGTTAATTGATATTTTCGTTTGAAAAGTCTTTGATCTTTTGGTTCTCATCGAAATAGAATGTATAATGACGGAGTTTCACCTTTGTCGGTCATGTTAGCATTTAATTCTTGTAGAAGCAAAAGTGAGAGGGCCGATGTTTTTGGCAAACTATGTCCTTGCTCAAATCAAAGACTCAAGAAATTAATTATTAGTGTGTGAAACAAAGTGCATGGATTGAAAAGTTGTTATTGTTGAGAGGATTTAAGAAGATTAAATGGGTTATAAGAGACTAATATAGAGCAAGACTTTCTTAATTTGATCATATCTTAAGCAATCGGTATGACCAAGCTTACAAAAAGCATTAGGCGTTTTAGGCGTCGGACCCAACGCCTAGAACCTAGGCATCTAGGAGCTTTTCCTACTTTTTACTTTTTTTTCAATTACAATAATTGATAGTGGATGCCAATGTTATAGCTTAGGTGTCAGACTGGCTCTTGGGTGGATTTTTTCTTTGTCTAAGTGGTGGTGGGTGGTGATGGAGGAGGTTTTGCTGAATGTCGAAGGAGGTAAAGGAGATGTTCATGGTTGGAGGCTTGAGAGGCTTGGAGGAGGTTGGAGGATGTGGATGTTGCAACAGAGAAAATCACGATGAAGGCCTAAAGGATGCATGCCGTGTAGGCAGACAACGCTTCCCTAGCTACTCCCAAGACCTAGGTGGATAGCGTAGGTACTGCCTACGCACTAGGTGCCACGCCGAGCGGGTTACCGCCTAGGTCTAGGCGTCCACCTAGGTCTAGACGTGCGCCTAGGCGGGTTAGGCGGGGAGACTTTTTAAAACATTGGATAGGATTTATAAATGTGTTAGTGATGGAGATGATGAATCATTTAATTGGCTTAGTTATTTTAAACTTTGTGAATTTTTCTTTGCTATGACATTGAAATATGTAAAAGAAAATATTTAAAAAACGTGCTTACTGTTATACAGGGAGGACTCTCATAGGGCTTTTTTCCTCTGTGAACTGCAGTCAATCTTAGATATCAAAGTGGGCTAAGATGGCTTAACAGAGATCGTTTTCTATGGGTAACCTGAAATTCCATAGAACATACTTAATTACACTCTTGGCAGGAAGCATATATCTCAGTGCCTTACCTTCTGAATATTAATTAATTAACCGTACAAAAATTTTTTCCTTAACTTAGAAATCAGATAAACAGTGCTTCCCATGAGTGATATAAGATGATAAAATGTTGGTGTTTTAGCACAGATGGTAGTCAAATGGGTGTTCAGAATGTAGGACTGCAACAATTACAGATATGGGGTCATTTTTCTATTGTTTTCCCCTATATTCCAGTCACACAAAAGAGGAGGACCTGTTTTGGGTAAAGCCAGTCTAGATTCCTTGTTATATCCCTGAATGCCTTATCTGACGTCAGATTGTGTCATTATGCTTTCTTTTTTTTTTATTTTTTAATGTTGGGTGTATTGGAAGTTAGAAATGTGGATAAAACTTGAGTATAAACATATTGCCAATTTGAAGGAAAGTATTAAATAGACATCGTGATATAGAATCTATAGGACATGCTACAACTTGTGAATGCACCTTTTTTATATGGTTTGTTAAATTGCTAGTCATAAACATGCTGCCACGCATTAGCCCTTTATATTAGAAGGGAGATAGCTCAGTTAGGAAAGTGTTGAGAAAATATTAGCCAACAAATTCCCTGTGGTTCTGGTGATTTTGCTTCAGATGTCCACTGGACAAGACAGAATAAAACTAATCTCAGCAGTCTGCCAATGTTTTTTATCAGAAACTAATCTCGGCAGTCTGCAGTCAATTGATCTGAATATGACATTTTCCTTGTTAAGAATGGAGACTTGCTTCGCAAGTCAATCCCATTGGGACCATGGACATGCATTCTTTTACATCTCAGATGTGTAGAATTCAAAATGTTAGGCATACTTGCTTTATCATGAGTTTATGTTGACAAGTAAATAATTTTGTGCTATTTAAAAATTGTAGTATTATTATGATAAAAGAAAATTTCGGTGAAGTAGATAAATAGGAACCAGAGGACTCAATGAACCAGAGAACTCAATGTTAAGGCTATACACAGAGAAAGACTTAAATTGCCTAGCCTAGCTGCCTACCTTTTTTGGAGTTTGGGGCTTAAGGGTGTTAGGGCCGGTTCAGTATTTCTTTTTTTAGGTGTTTCTGCTTATTTTTTTTAGTAAGCAGTTAGTAATGATGTTTGGTAAAAGTTTTTTTGCATGCTTATTGAAACTGCTTATGCTTTTAAGTGATTGCTTTTGAAAACAATATGAGGATGCTTTTAAAACCAACTTTTATATACCATATATACCTTTTTATCTTTTAACAATAATCACTAAGCACGTTTTTACCAAAGAATTTAACTGCTTTTTAAGCCGTTTTTTATATTTGATTACTGAACACCTATTTCAACAGTTTCTATAAGTTGTGCTTTGATAAGCAACTTATTATAAGCTGTAGCAATGCCAAACTGGTCCTCAGTCTCTCAGCCTTGATTTGCAAACACTGGTAATATATATGCAATGACATAAGTGAGCATAACCTATTTATCCTTCAAATTGGTTTTTATGTCTTGGTGTCCTGAGTTCTTTTTTCGTTATCTCTTTTTGTTTATTGGGATTTTATACTCACGTAGCTCTTGACATTTAATTTCCCAGAATGTCCCCTACGTATTTGTTCCATCCAAACAAGCACTAGGTCGAGCTTGTGGAGTCACAAGGCCAGTGATTTCTTGCTCAGTGACTAGCAACGAAGCCAGCCAGCTGAAAAGCCAGATACAGCAACTGAAGGTGTGTTTTTCTCGACTTTGTTTTATTGTATCCATCTCCTTTACAAGGCTCATTTTCGTTTACTAATTTGATTTTTCTTCTCGTTTCCAGGATGCTATTGAGAAGCTCCTGATCTGAATATTGAAAACCTTTCTGCGTGATGGATGATGGGCCTCAAAGCCATCAAAACCCATGGAGGCTTGGACTGAGATCGGGATTTTGTATTGTTTTTGTTAGTTTAGCTTTCTAGATTTCTTCTGTATTGTAGTATGTGACTTTTATGTTATAACTGATTGGTACTCGGTTAAGTATTTGAGATGCTTGCGATTAGAGGTTAGCGACGTATCTTTTGTGTTCCTATGTGGTGTTTAAGATGTCTGTGACGGGAGATTGCAACATATCTTTTTCTATTATGGTGTGTTACGATGTTCGAAGGCCTTGGCTTTAATCTTGTGTTTGCATTGCAGCATTCCTCCAGCCATGGATTTGATGTAGCGATTAGTTCTCTAGTTCTTTGGCCATCCTTGCATGCATTAGATATTGCAACAATTCTTGCACTCAATTTTGAGAAGTATTTGCTGCTCTTTCATGGATTAGAAAACTATCTACTCGAAAATGTTTTTTTTATAGAGTTGCTTATGGGGCTGTCATTTTTCTTTATTAGGATAACGATGATTTCAACGAAAGCCTGAAGTGCCTCATTCCTACTCATTATAGAAGTCTGATACCTCATTGAATCTATATTTTTCTGTAGCGATGCAACCGGTAGCTTTTTTTTGTCCGTTCTTTTTTTGAGAGAGAAACCAGAAGCAAATTTTCGATGCAGATCCGCACAATTTTTATACCTGAATCCACAGGTCATACAAATTATATAGATCATCCGCAGAAAGACGATGCATTATGTACCACCAGTCGGAGTCAATTGCATTGAAAATCTCTCAATTAAAATAGTAAAATCGTTAAAAATAGGAATCCTATCAAAGCAGGGCTCAACAAGTATAAAGGGTAGTTTAGACTTTTCACGATCCTTGTTGAGCTCAAATCGGGTTCTGATAGCATTCCTACTTTTGCGCCTGACTAGATCATAAACAGATACGAGATCATGTGAGACTTTCTCTAACCCATGTTTTGCTGTCATTTACGTAACTCGTGTTATTCATTTAAATTTTGTTATCTTTTGCTAATTTGGGTATTCTGAAAGTTTTAGGTGGCGGTTGCAAGTGAGACTTCCTCTAACCCATTCAGCCTTGTATACATCGCCCAAACAATTCGGGTTAAAATGTGGTATTGTCGAATTCACCTGAAAACATTTAGAGTGAATTTTGTGCCATAATCGTAGATCATTAAAAAAGAAAAACATTTCTCCTACGTACCACTTTTCCAACATGTCAGCTGGGTCCAAATTAACTATCAACAATTGAAAAAACACAATATATATATTTTTATAAATATTACCTCTATTCCTCTTGTCTTACTTTACTTTTTAAAATTTTCAATATTAAAAATTTCCATTTCTCGCTCTATATATTCTCATTTTCCATTCTCAATTTCTCACGTCGGTCCCCATAAAACACTATATTTTTGTGAATATTCGTTCCGTCCCCCTTATCTTACTTTACTTTTTAAAATTTTCATTTCTCGCTCTATAAATTCTCGTTTTTCATTCTCTATGTCGCACATCCGTCCCCATCGGCCTTTCTCTTGAGCCCCCCCTGTGTGCGGGGGGTGGGGTCGGGGGGGATGGAGGGTAACAAGAGAGAGTGGTCCAAATCTTTCTCATTTTCCAAACAGGAAAAAAAATAAAAATTGAAACTACTTTCGAGCTCATTATTCCTTCAATACATCCATTCATCTACCTTCCATTTATCCCATCACCTGGTATTTTCCCCCTTACCCGCAGCAACAACAATGTCGAGAAAGAAGTAGACCACATCAAGGTCGAGGATATCTAATTAAGGGAGGAAGCATGCACGTCATGCGTACTTCTCCAACCACCGCGACAGCGTTTTCACTAAAGCCTTCGACCAGCCGAATTCTATGCAGTGCGGTTGTGGCGGTGATGGTCAACTCACCGGTTGATGACCCGTAATTCTTCTGTAGACGGGGGTGAAGGAGGCTGCTGATCAGCTCTCGTCCCGCAATCGGATGTCAACAGATGCGAACAATTCGTAAGTAAGAGTTTTTCACTGTTGACTAGTAAACTTACTTCACTGAAGAATCATAATAGCTCGATGAGAAAATATCTTACTAAATGCAAAGACTTCTTAAATTAAACGATAACAAATGGTGATAACGATCATAGAATACCAACTATTCTAGACACACAAATCAAAAGTATCCGTTTCTCAATTTCACCAATAAAACAGCAATAATCCCAATAGAGTAGAACCTGAAATCTTGGAGTATTATTCATAGACAGCTTACCAATTTAGTTAGTGGAAAGTTTTGTTTTTATTTCATAATATTTTATAATTCTCTTCATGATTTTAGTTCTCTTCCTTAGCTTAGACGTTATGATCTGTTACGAACTGCACTCATTTCTCCCTTATTAATCAGAACCGGCGCCCATGAAAGGATCGCATCTACGGGCATCGGATTCTGCGCCGAAAACCGATCAGCAACCTCGTTCACTCCCGGGCTGCCGAGGGATTACGGGTTGCCTACGGGCGAGTTGACCACCACCGCTACGTCAGCACCGCATAGGGTCAGCAGGTCTGCGGCTTTATTGGAAACGCCATTCCGGCGCTTCGAGAAGCACACGTGGCCTGCTCCCTTGAGTTCTCTCTTCTTCTTTCTCGCCAATATGGTTTGTTGCGTCGGAGAAAGTGGATGTTTTGTAAAGGGATTAAATAGAAGCTGCGTATGAATTAATGAGATTTCTTTTTGGGCATTTTCGTTAATTTCTTCTGAATTAAACAATATATGGGTTTACGCGTCACGATTCTTCCTTTAAAAAATTGATTTATTGTTGGTGGAATAATTGGTAAGGATAATTTATCCATTGTATGCTAGGTGGCAATGGGTTTGTGCTCTTTTAGATCCAACGTATGTAGTTTGGAAATTTTGGAAGCACTTCAATAAAATTTTGCTATATTAGTTAACGATGCGGATCGATTGTAGGAAACTAACATCAGTGCATATTTTAGCGATTTAGTAAAATACGGAACCGATCTTGATATTTTACACCGAGTTATCATATGTTCTTCATACGTAATGAGTTGACAAGTACGGTAGCAATATTTAGCCTATACCGCTACTAATATTATTGCTATAACTTTCTTAGACTCTGCTTATGACTTAATTAACTGTATGAGTTTTATTTACAGGTATTATATATGTAATACGTCCTTACGTATGTACATACATACACTAGTATACGAATTGCTTAGCTGAAACAACATCTCCCTTAGATAGGAAATATTGTGAAAGGACCTGAACAGGCCCACGAAGTGAAGGCCCAATAAGAGTTTTGTAGGCTGCCTTCACTTCGTTTCCAGCAGGCATAGATATATAAATAGAAGCCTAATGTTTTCTAGGGTTAGGCAAGGGAGTTTTGACGGCTTCGTAAAGAAAAAAAGAAGAAAAAAAGAACGGCGGCTTTTTTTTTTTTTTTTTTGACAGCGCGCAGGCAGAAGAAAAATCAGTTTTTTTTTCTAAAGGGTTTTGTGCATTCCCTTTGTAGAGAGATTAAGAGGGATTTGAGAGTTTGTTTTGAGAGGGTTTAGATTGAGTGATTGTAAACCCATTCAGCCTTGTATACATTGCCCAAAAAATTCGGGTTAAAAGGTGATATTGTCGAATTCACCTGAAAACATTTGGAGTGAATTTTGTGCCATAATCGTAGATCATTAAAAAAGAAAAACATTTCTCCTACATCACTAGTAGAAAATCACGTATTTCGTTTAAAATCACGTATTCTAGACGGAATATTCTAGACGGAATTTTTTCCGTCTAGAATGTATTAAACTAGACGGAAATTTTCCGTCTAGAATAAAACATTCTAGACGGGAAATTCCATCTATAATAATATTCTAGACGGTTCCTTTATTTTTTATTTTTTTTAAAAATAACCAGGTATTTTAGACGGAAATTTTCGTCTAGAATACATCCTAAACAGAAATTTTTATTAGAATAACTGACCATTAAAAAAAGGAAAAATTGCTTCAAGGCCCTAAAACTAAATTGTTGATGTGTCCCAGCCCCTTGAACTTTTTCTAATGTGCTTTTTCCCCAAAAATGAAAAATCCATGTGAATCAGCCCCATTTACAATTTCCAAGATAAAAATTCCCAGACTACCCTATTCTTCTTCTCCAGATCTTCTCTAGATCTACTCCTCTTCCTACAAACCCATCTCCTCTTCCACCCTCTCTCTAACCTCACTCGAAACCTCCAACACCGCCGCTACCTCCGTCACCCCTGTCTCTACCTCGCTAGGGGGTTCTGTAAGTGTAGGCGTTAAAAAATGCTGAAAAGATATCCAAATACAGCTCAAGAGGAAATCATCCAAAAAATCAAAAGAACACAAGTATAGACAGTCTCGCACGCGAGACAGCCTTTGCTGTCTCGCTGTGCGAGACAGCCTTTGCTGTCTCGCCGGGCGAGACAGCCTTTGCTGTCTCACCGAGCGAGACAGCCTTCGCCGTGCGAGACAGAATTTACTGTCTCGCACGTGAGACAGCTCTCAGAGGGATCAGAAACTGTTTTGTAACCGCCGACACGTGGCCACTAACTGTTCAAGAACGTGGGAAACGTCGTGGATGAGAATCACGTTGATAACTGCCAAAATAACGGAGTTGTAAAATGTGGGAAGGCAGTTACAAGAAAACTGCTGGGCGGTTGAGGATTTCCGAGACAGCATTTACTGTCTCGGAACCCGAGACGGTGTTTACTGTCTCGGAACCCGAGACAGTCTTTGCTGTCTCGACCGCCGAGACAGCAAACACTGTCTCGGAAGTGGTTATTCGTCCAGGGGTTATAAATACCCCCCTGTGATCATTTATTAGGGAGGCTGATCATTTTGAGCACTTTGGAGCAGAGAGAGCGGAGTTCCTGAGCTTCTGGCAATTCCTTAAGATTTGAGCTTTGACTTGATCTTAAGAAGAACGACTATCTTACTTTGATAAGATATCGTTTCAAATTCTTACTTCGATAAACGAAGGAAGAATCATTAAACCCCTCACGATTCAATCAGAATCTGTGATTTGGTGGTCCACGAGTCAAAGCGCTCCCGGCACAGGCAAAGATCCCACGCAAGCAGCGATCCAAACAACGATCCTGCGTTTGTTTCTAAAAAGTTATAATTTTCCTTTTGTTGTGTAAAAGAAGTCTTATAAAAAGGCTATCTCTTTTGAATTTATTGTAACCGACCGAAGATATAATGAATTCCACAGCTAAATCAACTTTTGACGCAAACAGCAAGAACGGCAACAGGTGCAGGTTCCTCCACGACCTCAACGAGGACAAGCTCGACGTCGCCATGGCCTCGCCGCCGCCGCTAGATTTCCGTACCCCATTGGGCAGCTTGCTGATGTCCCCGTTGTCGCCCATGAACCAGAGGTAGGTGAATGGCGGCTGACTGAGTTCTTTTCTTAGGCTTTCGACGGTGGGTTCCGTGGATTTTGATGACTCGTTTTGATTTCAGGGCGGCTGCGACGACGAAGCTGATGCTCGCCGGAGATGAGAGCAGGTTCATGGGCCAATCGAGGATCGATCAGAGTGAGTTTGATGTTGTTTGTTGTCATGTAAGGTTCAGTTGAACTGGGAAGGAGTTTGATGTTGTTCTCTGTACAGTTTGATTGTTATTGATATTGCAAATTATATGGTGGGATTTTGAGAATGCATTGTGGTCATTGTTGGTTTGATAACACTTTTCCTGATGATAACACTTTCAGAGAAGAGGATGTCTCCAATTATTTTTGGTTACGAGAAATTTTCTTTTTGAACTTTTTGATGGTTTGACAATTGTTGTTTGGGGTTAAAACTGATTTGGGTTCTTGTTATTTTCTATAGTATTTATGGGCCAGTTCAAGATGTGAGGATCCCCTAATCTCAACATGTTGGGGCTTGGATGTATATCAAAATCAAGAAATAAGTAATAAACTCAAGGTGTGGTATATATAATGTTGTACAAATTTGTGATGGTGATTTCTTGTGTCTGCTGTTATTTGTTGTCATGTAAGCTCCAGTTGAACTGAGAAGGAGTTTGATGTTGTTCTCTGTGCAGTTAACTATTGTGGTTAGCATGTTAACTCTTGTGTTTAACATGTTAACTCTTGTGGATAACATGTTAACTCTTATGGATAACATGTTAACTCTTGTGGCTATATGTTAACTCTTGTGGCAAACATGTTAACTATTGTGGATAACATGTTAACTCTTGTGACAAACATGAATTATAGTTAACAGGCAGTTTATGAATAATAGTTAACAGATAATTCATTATAGTTAACAGTTTATAAATAACAGTTAACAAATAATAATTAATAGTTAACAAATTATAAATAACAGTTAACATATAATTGATTATAGTTAACAGTTATATTTATCAATTTACCAATTAAGGTTAACATGCTAGGTATTATAGTTAACATGTTAAATGAGAACTATATTAACGTGTATATGACCCGAAATAACAGTTAACGGATAATAGATTACAAATAACAATTAACGGATAATGGATTATAGTTAAAAGTTTACTGAATATAATTATCAATTTACCAATTAAAGTTAACTGAAATAACAGTTAACTTTAATTGGTAAATTGATCCATTATCCGTTAACATGTTATCCACAAGTGTTAACATATTAAACACAGGAGTTAACATGCTAAATATTGTGGTTAAAATATTAACTATATGAACTATTAATTATTATTTGTTAACGGTTATTTATAATTTGTTAACTATTAATTATTATTTGTTAACTGTTATTTATAAACTGTTAACTATAATGAATTATCTGTTAACTATTATTCATAAACTGTCTGTTAAATATATTCATGTTTGTCACACGAGTTAACATGTTATCCACAATAGTTAATATGTTTGCCACAAGAGTTAACATGTTATCAATAAGAGTTAACATGTTAGGTATAAGAGTTAACAAATTAGCCACAAGAGTTAACATATTATCCACAAGAGTTAACATGTTAACTATAACAATCCCTTACGCTAACGTCGGAGTCCCAGGCCGAGGTTGTTGACGACTGATCCCCTGAACATGCGTAATCGGAATCCTCGTCGACGTAAAAACAAAACTCGGATGAGGAGGAGTAGCCTAAGCCTCTCCTAGTTCTGTTGAAGTAATTTGAGGGCTTCCCTTTGGGGACGTAGGCGGGTTTGATGACCGTCTTGTGTCCTCGGCCGTAATTCAGGCCCTCCAAGCGAGTGAGGTCGTACCCCATGTCGCTCATTATGCGTTTCGCCACTTGACTGTATTGTGAGAACTGGGGCGCTGGGTCTTCGTCCTCAGATTCGTCCCATAGCGTGCGTAGGGGGCGATCGATTCGACCGAAGATGATGTCTTTTCGATACCTCTTCCGTGCTGGCACGACGAATACAGCTCGCGATAAACAACAGCAGACACAAGAAATCACCATCACAAATTTGTACAACATTTATATATACCACACCCTGAGTTTAATTATTACTTCTTTCTTGATTTTGATATACATCTAAGCCCCAACATGTTGAGATTAGGGGATCCTCACATCTTGAACTGGTCCATAAATACTATAAAAAATAACACGAACCCAAATCAGTTTTAACTCCAAACAACAATTGTCAAACCATCAAAAAGTTCAAAAATCATTGCCACTCTCCAGTTCTTCCACTGGTGGCTGGTCGGGGTCCTGGTACAGCAGAGAATCCGCGAAGTTGTTCTCGACGCCCTTAAAGGGGTGTTTGTCGGCCACTACCGTTCTTACCCGCTCGTAGTCGTCTATGTACTTTAAGCACTGGTGTAACGTGGACGGAACGATCCGGTTGCCATGAATCCACGGGCGCCCCAGGAGTATGTTGTAGGAGGGTTCAGCATCGATAACGTAGCACGTCACCTCCGTCTTCATGTCGCCTATCCGACATTTCACGTCGTCGCAGCCGCCCTGAAATCAAAACGAGTCATCAAAATCCACGGAACCCACCGTCGAAAGCCTAAGAAAAGAACTCGGCCAGCCGCCGTTCACCTACCTCTGGTTCATGGGCGACAACGGGGACATCGGGAAGCTGCCCGAGGGGGTACGGAAACCTGGCGGCGGTGGAGGCGGCGAGGCCATGGCGGCGTCGAGTTTGTCCTCGTTGAGGTCATGGAGGAACCTATACCTGTTGTCGTTCTTACAGAATCCCCTGGCGAGGTAGAGACAGGGGTGACGGAGGTAGCGGCGATGTTGGAGATTTCGAGTGAGGTTAGAGAGAGGGTGGAAGAGGAGATGAGTTTGTAGGAAGAGGAGTAGATCTAGAGAAGATCTGGAGAAGAATAAGAGGGTAGTCTGGGAATTTTTTGTCTTAAAAATTGTAAATGGGGCTGATTCACATGGATTTTTCATTTTTGGGGAAAAAGCACATTAGAAAAAGTTCAAGGGGCTGGGACACATCAACAATTTAGTTTTGGGGCCTTGAAGTAATTTTTCCTTAAAAAAAAAACCGTCAAAACCCCTGTCGCCCTCCTTTCCCCCCAAAATCGGAATTTTCATCCCTAAAGTCTAAAGTTTCAGGAACACCCCGCCTCATCCCCCCAAATCTTCAACTCCAAGCTCCTACTCCTCCCTCCACCGCTTCCCCCTCCTCTCCCTCTCCCTACTCAACCTCACCCTTTGGCCAACTCTGAGTTCCCCATGGCCACAGAATCCCAACCCCAAAACCCTAACCCTAACCCCAAACCCTAATTGCCCTCTCGCCCCCCCGCCACCCACGGCCGCGTCCTCAACCGCCCCCACTACGACTTCCTCCGCGAGCTCGGCCGCGGCCAGTTCGGCGTCACCTACCTCGTCGCCGACAAGACGACCGGCAATCGCTTTGCCTGCAAGTCGATCCCCCTTTCTTTAAGCCTGGTAAATTTTGGTTTTTTTGTGGTACTTAATTAGTAGCATAATTATGGTAATTTCAAGTAATTATTTTTTCTACTGACTTGATTATTGGCTTTGTTAGCGTAGATGTTCCTCTGTTAACAGTAAGGGGGGGTTATTCGTTGGTGTAATTTGATGTAATTTAGGGTAAATTGTTCCAATGGGGTAATTTTATCCAATGGGATAATTGAGTGGGATAAAGTGGGGTAAAATGGGGGTAATGAGACAATTTGAGTGGGACAATTTTAGTATGACATCTTTTTATAATATTATATTTATAGCTCAATTAAATTCAAGTTTAACTTGATATAACATCAAATGATTAAATAAATAATAGTTATAATATAAAATAATATTAATTTTTAATATTATTTTAATATAAAATATTAAAAATAATATAATAATATTAATATTAATCAATCTTAAAATATTTTGATGTTTATTTTAACTATTATGCTAGATTAACAAATTTTTTAATTGCAATAATTATTTAATCATTCATACATCTAATTACAATGATGATGATGATAAAGTCTCAATTATTACAAATAAAGTCTCAGTCGGTAACTTAAATCTTAATTATTACAAATATAATCTACCGGCATATAACTTTGCTTTAGACTCCTTGGGCTACGTTTGTCCCATCCTCCCACATTGTGTTTGCCATTTGTTCTCTCCAACGTGGTGCAGCTGTCCGTTGTGCTTGTTGAGTTTGTAGGTCATCGTCCTCATCAGAATCACCATCAATCGGAGCAACATTGCGTGGTGCCTCTGGAGGAAGATCAGAAACTTCAAAGTCATCGTTGGAGTTCTCCATCTTCAGAAAATTATGCAGGCCGATACATGCCCAGATCATACTTTTTTGAGTCTCATATGGAAAACCTGGAGGTTGAGACTTAAAAATTGTAAACCTAGACTTAAAAATGCCAAAAATACGTTCAATACAATTTCTAAGTGATGAATGTCGATGGTTGAATAACTCATGAGCATTGCGTGGTCGCTGACGGTTGTTAGCTGGGCCAAACTCTTTAAGGTGATACCTCGTACCCCGATAGGGAGCTAAGAATTGTAGCCTATTTGGGTAACCACAATCAACTAGATAAAATTTACCTGCATTAACATTTCTTTAGAATTATAATCAATAAATATAAAATCTAACAAAGTGATAAAAAAAATATTTACCATTTGGAAGTGGAAGACTACATGCACTTCTACTCATTGCATCCTTCAGGACCCGTGAGTTATTGGCAGATCCCTCCCATCCCACTAAGACATAAATAAACCTAAGATCAAATATGCATGCTGCAAGGATATTTTGAGAAAGATAGCCATGTCTATTACGGTATGGAGTTTGGTCCTCGCCATATACCATACATGGAATGTGGGTCCCGTCAATAGCACCAATACAGTCCTATATATTCCCATTAACATATATGAAATGTGACTTTAAAATTATAATAATAACAATGAATGAAGACTTATATAGTGTATTTAAATTTCAATACCTTGAAGTAAGGCCAAAAACGAGATTCAGATGTGACCTTTTCTGGTGGATCAGTAGGAGGAGGAGCCATCATACAAGGGGCTAATGACACAAGGGCCTGTAGTGCCTTATTGAAACAAACACTGACGGCAAATCGGGATCGATCAAACCTTTCAGTGGTGATGCAATATCGTTGATTTTGAGTAACGGTGAGTAGGAAAATAGCAACCATCTCCTCAACGCTGATATACCGTGTATCTTGTAAATGCCCACGTTCTCGCAAGACCATACACAATTTCATGAAGCAATCTGGATACATACAGTATACTCGACGAAAATCACGTGGATTGCTATCCATCTTAAATTTCAAATATTGAAGGCCAAGGTCCGTAATGCCATGTCTGAGTTAGGAAATGGGTAGATTTATCTCCTCTTGTGATATGAGATGCGAGATACTCGTGACTAGACCTCCTATTTGTGCAGCCATGTTGATAATGCGAATGAGGAGATTATCAGCAGTATCCTCATCAAATAGCAGGAGTGAACCGGCGCTTCCTCCGAGGTAGGTGTCTGTGTGGACCGCTTGGCGATCCATCTGGCAGACCCTTGCCTCTTGCGCTCGATCTCTGGCTTGGCCTTGATCGATCGCGAGGGAGTGGGCTCCTCCGATGAGACTCGGTTGGAACCCTCGGGTGCGGAGGCTTTGACCGTCTGAGGTCGGCCTCGGCGCACAGCTCTGTGGCGTTTGCGGGACGCATCGCCACCAGAGGAGGAGGAGGACAAGTATTCTTCGTACTTGGCCTGGTCGAACTCGATTTCGAGGGACTCTACTGTCGTCCCGATAGTAACCTCATCAAACTGAGCCACCACCATTTCACTCGATGAAACAGCTGCTCCCACTGTGGTCGCCATCTTCTGTAGGGTGAAAATTTGATTCTTCCGAAGAAAGGAGTTTCGTTTGTATTTATAAGAAAGCTTATTACAAACTAACAAATCAAATGTTTACAACAGAAGCAGAGGGAAGGCCCTCTTTGTTTTGTGTGGGGACTTTAGGTGGCTATAGGACGCTTCGCTCGATGCTCGGGTCGAGTCTGCTTCCCTTGGACCGTTTGAATGAGGTTGCTGGAGAGCTTCAGTTCGCAGTAGAAGCTCGGGGCAATGGAGTTCGGGTCTGCTTGGTTCGTCGGCGATCGGAGCTCGGAACTAGGCAGCGGTGCTGTAATGCAAGGATTTGCTAACAGCTTGGTCTCAACTCTTTTTCCTCCAAGTTTTGCGACCTCTCTTCCATCGTGCTGGAAGGGGCTTTTAAATGAAAGAAGGACAGCTCGACTTCTCCTTGAATTGTGGGATGTGACCACATCCTCTTCAGAGACGTCTCGCCGTTCCTCGATACCATGAATGGTCATTTCAGGGATTGTGTTCTATGTCCTGTCACCTACGATGGGAAGGCCCATCTTGTGTGTGAGGCAACGAACGACTACTATCCGAGTGGATTTGACCAGCATTAATGAACCGCATTTATGAGTTCGCAGATCGATGAAGTGTCTGTCCGATCACTTGTACTGTGCGTGACCGCCCGGCGTGCTTTGAGCACGGTGCTTTCTCCTTTCCGGTCAGGAGAGGCGGTGAAGTAGGTGTACAGTACTCGAGTGGGTCTAGCCAGCTTGCCGAGTGCCGGCGGATCCAGCTCTTGGCTCAGACAGCCGAGGTGAGTCGCATTTATGAATGCTCAGGTTGACTCGACACCTGTCCAGGCTTTCGTGCTGCGCGTACTGCGAGCGGCCGTTTGACGGTCCTGGGGTATCGCGCTCTCTCTCTCTTCGGGTCGAGAGAGATGGGAAGGTCCATCTCAGCACGTGGGGTAGTGGATACCCAGCTGTACTGACGGTCTTGGGGTTTGCTGGCGGATTCGACTCTGGACTCGGGCAGGCGAGTTGAGTGAAAGGCGAACTTCCGCCATCCTAATCGATCTTAACTCGTGCTGGCGAGCCGACCGTAAGGCGAACTTAGAATCGAGCATGTGCGATGTCCATGCGATTTAGGCCCGTGCCAGCGAACCGGGCGTGCGAGCTCTTTTCGCAGGCGAATTTCCTGTGAGCCTATAGAGGTATTTTTTACCGTCTACAGCCACATGGGTGTCATCTGATTTATAACTTTACATGCCAAATCTTTTAAGAACCTTCTGGATATAGCTCTTTTGTGATAACCCAAGTATACACCGAGAGCGATCACAGTGTACCTGTATGCCCAATACAAAAGAGGCACCCCTAAGTTCTTTCATCTCGAATTTGCTTGATAGAAATATTAGTTTCGTGCAATAAGCCTATATGTTGCTAGCAAGCAACATGTCATCGACATATAAAACTAGAAAAATATGTTTACTCCCACTGAACTTATGGTATATACAATCATCGACTATATTCATCTCAAAATCGAATGAGATGATAACTTGATGAAACTTTGTAAGAAAATAAAATTATCTTTATCCCTAACAGAGAAATTCAGAAGTTCGCATGCAAGAACATTACCAAAAATAGTAAAAAACGGACAAAAACGCTGACATCTCTCAAACCGGAGGGAATTTGGCAAAACAGATAGTGATAAACAAAACTTTAGTTAATTTGATCGGCCCCGTCTCGTTGAGATAGTTGATTTTTGTATATAATACGTCTAATTCCGACTTACGATTTGAAAGTTATGATCTATTCTTCACAACAAGTCATGTTCATCGACGTCTGAACTTCTCCTGCAAGACTACGGTTTGCCTGAACCAAGCCAAGTCTACTTGTTCGACTGCATCAAATAGGCCAAGTTAAGCTCGCCTGAATACTTGACTTCACAGGCGAAGTGAAGTTCACCCAGGCATTGGACTCCTCCTAGAAAGAACTAAGCTCGCCTGAATGCTTAGTTTGCCAGCTCGCAAGTTAGATAAGCTCGCCTGAATGCTCCACTCGCCCGCACGAGTCAAGCTCGCATGTAGGACGTTCGCCCATATGATCCAAGCTCACTAACAGGGTTTAAGCTCACCTGAATGCTTAAGGGGTTCGCCTCTCAACCTCGCTTGTTCGCCTAGCTCGCTTGCAAGCTCACCATGCTCGCCAACCTCACCTGCAAGCTCACTAGACTTGCCAACCTTGACTGCAAGCTCACTAGGCTCACCTGAGTGGTTAAAAACTGCTTACTTGGATTGTGGAGGTGGTTACGCCCACTTCCCATGATCCAAGGGGTTGGTTACAACCATCCTTCTCAATAAATAGCCATATTCGGCTACAGAGAAAGGGGGCTCCTGGGGGCTCCTGACATTTTGGCTGTGGAACTTTTGAGGGAGGTTCAAAAGAACCGAACTCTTGCATTCTTGTGCATTCGGCTTTGGTATTCAAGCTTAGGTGATCAAGCTCTTCTAATCAAACATCTACTACGTGCTAAAGTTTGTTTGTTTACAATCTCGTTCAAATCGTCCAAGGGAAGCAATCTCGGTACGAGCATCGAGAGAGGCATCCTATCACTATCAAGAACCCACGTTAAACAAAGAGAGATCAAACCAATTCTCTCTGCTTCTGTGTAAAAGCAATTTTGATTTGTAACAAACAATTCAATTAATATAAATCTTTAAGATCTATTTTACATCCTACAAACTTGTAGTACCACTGATAAGAAGCTTCCTTAAGCCTATAGATGGATTTTATTCAATTTGCAAACCATCTTCTTTGCATCTCCCGACACAAAGTTTTTTTGGCTGCACTACATAAATTATTTCATCAATGTTGCCATTGAGAAATACGGTCTTTTCATCTATCTGATGTAGCTCAAAGTCAAAATGTACCACAAGTGTCATTATTATCCTAAAAGAGTCTTTCGATAAAATCGGAGAGAAAATCTCTTTATAGATGATGCCTTCTTTCTGTGTAGAGCCTTTAGCGACAAAACGAGCTTTGTACCTCTCCACATCGCCTTTCAAGTCCCTCTTGGTTTTAAATATTCCTTTACAACCAATGGGTTTTGTACCTTCAGGCAACAGGATAAGATCCCAGACATTATTATCCTCCATAGACTTCATCTCCTCATTCATGGCATCAATCCACTATTAAAATTTAGAACTTTTCATGGCTTGATGGAAGTTGATTGAATCATCTTCCACTATACTGGATATTATCCTCATGTTCTTGGAGAAAAATAATGTAATTATTTAGAACCACACTTCTCCTTTCTCTAGTGGATCTTCTTAATGACGCAGGTTCTTGATATGGTAGAGTTTGTTATTCTAGAATAATTTCTGAGATAGAGGTTCTATGATATTATCTTGATTTGGATTTGTTTCTTGAACAATATCAAGAACAGAAGCATGATCAATGCGAATAGAAACTATTAGAATATTAATATATTCCTCTTCAAAGACAAAGTCATTAACCTTATCTTCCCCCGCAAACTCAACATCTTCAAAGAACCGGGTATTTCCCATCTCAAATATTGACTTGGAAGTATGGTCATATAATTTGTAACCCCTGGATCTCTCAGAGTAACCAACAAAGTGGCACCTGACCGTCCTTAAAGTCCAGTTTCTTTTTATGTGGCCTATAAGGCCTAGCTCAGCTTGACATCCCTAAATGATGTAGAAATGCTTTAGACTAGGTTTTTTACCCATCCAAAGTTCATAAGGGGTTTCGACAGTCACTTTTGTGGGTACTCTATTGAGTATGTAAGCTGCAGTCTTTAATGCTTCTCCCCATAGAGAGATTCTGGTAAGTTAAAATGACTAATCATAGTCCTTAGTATGTCCTTGAGCGTTCTGTTTCATATTTCGGCAACACCATTCATGGTGGGAGAACCATGCATGGTATACTGTGGAACAATACCACACTCCTCTAGGAATTTAGCAAATGATCATGGACGTTATTTACCTGAACCGTCATACCTACCGTAATACTTACCATCACGGTCAGATTTGATGCTTTTGATACTTTTGTTGAGTTGATTCTCAACTTCAGCTTTGTAAGTTTTGAATATGTCTAGTGAGTTAGACTTTTCATGTATAAGAGAAAAGAAGCCATAATGTGAAAAATCATCTATGAACGTGATAAAATATTATTGATTATTCTAAAAAACTATAGAGAATGGCTCACAAATATCTGTATGTATCAATTCTAAGATGTATGTAGTCATGTTGGCACTAAATATCCGATGTTTGTTTGTTTTCCCTTTATCCAATTAGTACAAATATCAATGTTTATAAAATCAAGGGGATCTAGAATCTCGTATGATACAAGTATTTCAATTCTTCTTTTAGAGATGTGACCTAATCTCTTGTCCATAACGCAGCAGAATTCTCATTGGTCAATTTTCTCTTTACAATTAAGTTCTTAATTGTAAGGTTTCATGATATGAAGTAATCAT